ATATATAATAAGATAAATAAATCAAAAAATATTCAATATTGGACTCATTCTAAAGATATCGACGAGACGATTATAATGATGTAACTTATTAAAATTAAAACGTATTGTTTAATGTATTTTAGTTAGTATACGATTATATGTATTAATATGATAATAACTTAAAATGAAAAATATAAAACTAGAAGGTATAAAGTAAATAATCATATAAGTATAAGGGTTTAAATTGTAAATATATATATATTTATATTAGTGTAAATATATATATTTATATTAGTGTTTGTAAACGAGGGGTCGAAAAAGAATGACCCATTTCAAATGGTGTCAATGCGTTTTTTAACTATTTTAATTTAAGTTTATTTTTTTTCTTAGTTATAATTATTACTTAAAAGTTATGGATTTTAATTTTCTTTGATGAATTATTTTTTCAATAATTATGACATTAATATTAGATTGGCAGGTGAAATTTGTAGGTACCTTATTAATCATATGAGATTCTAAAATTAACAGACATAGAAACTGTCAATAATCTTGTCCAAATACAAAATATTGACTACTGAGAAGTAAACCTAAGTTTGAACATGTAAAGTATCCCTAAGGGTTCACATTCAGAGAGTCGTGATCATGTAAAATCAACTCATTTTTGTAAGAATGTGAGAAAATTTATGGGCATTTGAATGAGTTAATTTTCGTATATAACAGCTAAATAAAACATGTACCTTTATATGATGGTAAAAACATTTTAAATATTTGATTAATAATTAACTATTATTATTAAATTATGTAATAATATTATCTTTTGTCTAATACATTCCTATTTTTTAGTATTAAGTTTGATGGTTAATAAATAGTTGAATAAGCTTTAATAATATACTAGAAGAGTACTCGTACAATGTAGCAAGACACATCTGAAGTTTAACGTTCTTTGAATTAAAATATCTCTATCATTAAAATATACTAGAAACAGTATATTGTGTGAAGTATTTGAATTAAAATATCTCTATCATTAAAGTCACGGGTGGAGTGGAGAGATAAAAGAAAGGTGCTTTTGTCACCATCATCACTACTTTACATACCATCAATATTGATAGACAAGTTGGAGGAAATTTCCTTAAAAATGTGGTGGGGCTGCTATAAACGCGTCGTCTCACATCTCATCCATCTATAATCAGGGGCGGACCTAATGGGAAAAAAGGGGGG